ATTTGTAAGCATGGTTTCCAATGTATCCCGTTTTACAATTTTAAAAATCGACCTTGGGAAAAAGTCCCTTGTGTAAATCTATAATACATGCTTCAGTTTACTCCTTGGAACATACTGTAATATATACTGCTGCATGCAAGACCAGCGGTGACTCCAGACAGTTATACGCATTACAAGCAGTATACAGAGCGGTATATTGTATGCCTGGAATTTTCCCAGTGCATACTGTACTGTGTTAGAATTACTCCACAGTGCCCTGGATGTCTGTACAGTATAGTCCTGAAAAAATTCTTGCTGGAGCACGTTTACTTTATCATACTGCTATACTCGACAATACTGTATACCAAAGCCTGAGGATCATGGGTTGATTCTCATCAGTACAGTACTGTATATCCCTCAACGTGTACAAGTTGTGCACCAGATGTCACCGCTACGTGGATTTGTTCAAGCTATTGGAGGAGCACTTCCTTGCTTCAGAAATAACGTCAAGGTCCTAACCTTCAGGATCCTCCGAACATGACCGTTACATGTGCAGCCATTTTGATTCGAGTTAGAGGCGCAGTTGCTCGTAGCTCGGTCGAATTGGTGGATGTGAGTCGATTGGTTGCACTGGAAAATATGTGAAGAATTCGCGTCTTTCTTTTATTCTGAATCTGATAGTAGTTGGGAGGTATGAATCTATCGAGACGATCATGGGCAACGTGGACAGGTCTGATTCATGTTTTAGCCACACGGGTTATAATATGTTTTATTGTTGAACTTTGTTTGAGAAGCGAAGTGTTCATCACACAGAAGATAATAAACCCCACCTTATTTGATTTCTTCCAGTGGTTGAGTCTCAGTGATTATGAAGGACGTTGAGAAAGTTGGATTGAAGGTGCTTGGAACCCATCAGCATCATGCTGGTGTTCATTCTAAGAAACCTAAGTCGGCGCAGAACGTTTCTTTGAAGCAGTCAAAGCCATTTACTCATGGATCTGTAGATTTCCGCAAGTCGAACAACAAATCGAATGCTCAATGCTCCGATCAGCATCGCTTCATGGATTCCGGTCATCATCATGTGGGGAATCCGAGAAATAATGGGAAGCTGCGATCCGAAAGAGCTACATCTTTGAGCGAACGTAGCCCCGAACCGCACAATCAGAATCGTGTTCGATCAATCTCCGGACAAGGCGAGTGTCATTTCTCCAGAGCTTCACCGTTGCTTGGAGGGTTTGTCACTCCCCAGAAGTCCTCCAGGTCCGATGAGTATTTTGCTATGGCTAAGTTCAACGAGTCTCCTGAGCCGTCTGCTGTGCCAGCTCCACCGCGTCATTGGTGCCACAGCCCTTGCAAAGCAGAGCTGGAGATGAATCAGATTGCTTGTGATGGCATTGACTTGACTGCGCATCTGAAAATGTTGTTGCGTGTGTAGAAATGTGATTCCATGGAGGGGATTTTCTTTTTGTACCTGAGTGCAGGATTAGATCTATTTCAGTTCTTCCTTTTTTGTTCCTGTCAACCAACTTCGCCGCTTTGTCTTGGGCGTGACGGGGGGAAGGTCTTCGCGGATCGAGCCCATGTCTAATTTTCCATTGCTGAGAGGCGTGAATTAATCCGTGAGGCTAGATCCTCCTTGTCGTCTGTGGCATTTGTTTTTTTCTTAGTGTGGGGAAGGTTGCAGGATTTAATAATTCATTCGTTCGACTAGACTATTTGGAGCTATCCTAGTTGGGGGGACCCAGACTCCCCCCAACTAGGATAGCTCCGACTATTTTTCTTCGGAATCTTCGGTTTTTAATTTGTTTTTTTTTAACTGTTACCAAATTCTGACGGTGCACCTCGAGGTGAATCTTGTTTTTATCACCTGACAGTTCAAGACATTTCGGCAGATTCAATTGTCTGGTGCTCTGTAGTAATTTCTACATGTACTGTGGGAAGTCGTATCCACGCCTATGTTTTGTAGAAGTTCTTCAATTTTCGGGTTGTCGCTTTTTTTTGCACCTGGGTGTGGATTTTTTTTATGCATCTGGCATCGTTATTTCAATTCCTTTTGAGTATCTGGATCAATCCCAGAAGTCAGGGAAGCTTTCGACGGGTTTTTCTCCCGTCGCGTTTTCAAGTTTTCTTCCTATATTTGTCCTCATTTGTCTGTAGGTGTGTGTACGGGCCAGTCAGTTTTGAGGAAAGGTTTGCTATTTTTGATTGGTGAAAAGGATCAGCCATCGTGGATTTTTTTTTTTCTTTGAAGAGAAGCCCAGTATAAGAACAATGTCATTGTGTCGCTTTAATTTGAATTTTCTTTCTTCGATGTGGGCTGTTGATGGTTGATCTCTGCTTCCCGATTTTTAATGGAATTTTTGAGAAGGGTTTCGAAATGTGGAGATAAACTTTTGAATTAACGGTGGATGGCTGAAAATACGGTTTTCGCATCCGCGGAGATGCGATTATTTTTATATCCCTTTCGAGAAGTTATAATGTGTTGATAAAACGTTTTCCTTTTTTGAAAGAACCCATAAAGCGAGACGTGATAAATCAATGAATATTTCCAGTAGAATTCGATCACGGTGTCCCAAAAAGTGGGACTTCGGAAGGCTGTTCAAGTTTCTTAAGAGTATTTTAGACCATGCGTCAGCGCATGTAATATCTTGCTACCGGTTCTGATCAGTCCCTTGAAACGTGCGATTTATGTGCACCAAATTATCTTTAAATAATTATAGTAGATTAAAAAATTAATCTAAAAAACCACGTTTTCAAAAAGCAAAAAATAACCTTAAACGTGGTG